TATAGCACAGACAACTTTGTCTGTGGCTATAGCAAAAAATGTTGTACCTAAAAATGAAAGCTTATTAAATTTACTATAATATAACTTTGAGTGGATACATAATTAGGAAAAAACGCATCGTTTTTATGTTATAGACTATCCAAGGTTGAATATTTTCATATGTGGATACATATCAATGTAGTATATGACCAACACCTACTACATCTTGATTTCCTTTGGTTTTTTCCCTCCAAGAAACCTCATCGTAACTGCATAAAGGAGGGGTAGTAATTCGAAAGTGGATCGTGCTTTATATAATGTGTAACACATATTAACAATACCTAAGACTAATTTTCGCTATTCGAAAAAATGATGTCTTCTTCATCGCCGTCCTAGAGGACCGGTGGGCCGTTAAAGTAGGTACCTACGCACTTTCAGATCCACAAGCTGAAGTGCAGTTGATGCCTGTCTTACCACACCCACACCTCGGGCCGCATCCAGTTCTAGTTGTTCAGTGCCAGAAGATGCAACTTAGGACATTGGCATTCGATCCTCTCCTCTCATACAACCCCACCGCAGTTGAGGGTAAATCCCGCTATACGTATCGAGGTGGCTAGTACGGTCATGCATGTGTATAATCTACATATTCAATCTTGGTGGGTCAAAAACTTAAAAAGGGTGGTTTTTTAAGAAAGTGTATTGAATCAAAGTTGTAGCAAATTTAATGAGCTTGTATTTATATTGAAAAGAATTTTTTCTATGACGCACCGTTTCCGAATTGTAAGTAAAAAACTATAAATCCACGGTCTTCCCCCTCACCCCTCTAGCATACCCAGAAGTCGGGGGGACTTTATTATATGTTGATCAGAGAACCTTCTGCTACGCATTTCCGAAGGAATTAGTAATACATGATTTAGTTCCCCTATTTGCCATTTTTTGATCTATTCTTACTGGACTATTATTTTGGAAATTATTCCATTTGTTAATTAAGAAAATTCATCGGATTTTGAAACAAAATTGCATAGTCCGTCGATTTGCAAGAATCAACGGCACAATTGTTGAAAAACGTTTAGTTGTTTTAGGGTTCACTAACTGTAAAAAAATTGAGAACGCTCTGAGAGTCGTCCTTTTGGAACTGCAAAATGCACTTTATCGGGAATATTTCTAATAGTGTTTTTGCACTTTTGTACAAGACAATACCTATAAAATGGTTTTTTAGCTTTTTCCATGGTCTGAATAGCTATATTGCAACTGAAATTTTGTTTAAATAAATCAACACTAAAAGTAAACAAATTCTGGTCGTGGCTTGTGACGTCATCCAAGGCCCGCTGAAAATATGGCGGCGTTTAAACACATCGAATAAAGTCAACGTTTTGAATATTATTTTACAAGTTAAATTGAATTGTTCTAACAGTGTTTACTCTTTTTACTATGTTAGAACGATGTAAAAAATTTAAAAAATTACATGCATATTCCCTATTACATTACCAACAACATATTATATTATAGTAGTATTGTTGAATTTTGAAGCGCGCCGCATAAGCGTCAGTTTGACAATTATAAATGTCAACGTGGAATTGTCTAACTATTAGAGGCTCAGACTCAGACTTAACAGGATATTTTTGTAGTTGTTTTCTAGCGCATTTTTGCAAATTTATTTGTAAAAAGGGAGCTTTTAATCTCACTTTGGCTGGCTGACTGGCTGGCAGTAAATGCGAGCCCGTAGAAGAACGCTTGTAAAAAGAAAAGGAGTGATTGATTGATTGATCGATTTATTGTGCTGAGAGACCGTACAGTCTTTACACTTGTCAGGGTTTGTATATAAATTTAACATAAATAATATAAGACACTATACACTTATATAAGAGACATAAGACACAATTGCAGAATTAAAATGACACGATTATAAAAAAACCAAAATGTAAATTTTAAGAGGTTAGGTGACTAGACTCTATGAATTCTTCAAGCGAATAATACACATGTGGCACTAAAAATGAGTTTAACTTGTGTCTGAAATTGTTATACTCGTACGACAATTGTCCGACATTTCGGGGCACAGTATTGAACACTTTGACTTATAAAGTACACCGTTTTGGGTTACAGCGAGGCGAGAATATGGACGTCTAACGAGTGTACATATACCTATCGGGACCGTGTAATTAACAACTTTAGGGACGGGGTTACAAGATCTGTGGTAGGCGACATCTGTGCGCCATTCCCGAGCGTGTCGTACCTACTAACCTGGAGATTTTTCAGTTTTTTTCTATCTTCTTCTACAGTTTTTCTCCGATTGTTTTCGAATTGGTGTCGTCAGAAAGATCTTGTCAACGCGCACAACTCCTGCGTGGTGGAATTTTATTTTTTTTTCCTAGGGGCGAAGTAAATCACCTTTTGCTCGGCGCGCGTCGAGGAGTAGTCGACTTTGGGCGCTCAAAAGTTTTTTAGAGCTCAACTCGCGGTCTCTAGCTGTTTCTCGTGTCGCCAATAAAAGCTCGAACTATGATAAGTACCCAAAAATTGACTACTGTTTTGTGCCGGGTTTTTAGCGAAATCCACCAAAATGCGAATTGCGAGTGAACGGGACGTCGGAACTGTGTACCGACAAAGAGAATATGGTAACCCCCGATGAGATCTTACTGATGGTGGAGTCAAAACTTCAAACTCAATTGCGGGTGAACGGGACATCGAAAGTGGGTGCCCACAAAGGGAGTATGGTAGCCCCCGACAAGATCTTATTGATGGTGGAAACAACACTGGCTAATAGCACACTGATCTGCCACACAAAAATGCGCTGAAGTGCCTTCGATCCCACACGAAGACTTTGATAATTTTTAGCGCATTTTTTAAGAATTAAAAACAAGTAGGTATAAATTGTGCACAACTCTTGTGCAGATAAAGCGCATTTTTTTTAACCGAAATAGCTTTTGTTTTGACATCACGAATGGATATATTGTGATGTACCCAGACCACAGTATATCCCTTTTTTTGCGAATTGTTGCAAATTTATTTGTAAAAGGCAACGTACATATACCTACCGAGGCCGTGTAATTAACATCTGTAAGGACGGGGCCACATGATGTTGGGGTCGACGTCATCTGGGCGCCATCCCCGAGCGTATTATATTAACGTGATGAATTTTCAGTTATTTCTACAGTTTGGGCCTGATTGTTTTCAAACTGGTGTCGTGGGAAACGTGGCAAACGCCAACGCGCACAACTCCTGCGTGACGGAATTTTGTTTTTTCCTAGGGACAAAATTAACCACTTTTACAAGGCCCGCGTCCTCGAGAGGTATAGTCGACTACTTTGGGCGCCCAACAGTTTCTTATAGCGCGCCTCTCTTTACCAAATCGCCAACAGAATCCATAAGTGCCCCAAAAAATGAGTACTATTTTGTGGGGAACTTTTAGCGAAATCCACCAAAATGCGAATGAACGGGACGTCGGAAAGTGAGTCAAAACTGGCAAATAGAATATACCTACCCACTGATCTGCGTCGCGACACAAAAATGCGCTGAAGCCCCTTCAATCTCACACACTTTGATAATTTTTTATTACGAATGCAACGATGTACAGCACGCAAAAAAACAAAGGTTGGAAACTGTTGGTTTCAACAGGATGGTGTACCTAGCAGTGGCGTAACTACAATGTCTCAAAGGTACGCAATGAGGACGGGCCCCGACTTAAAAGGGGCCCCGGCAAAAATGTACAAAAAATGTAATTTTTATATAAAAAATACTGAAAAAAATTGAAAATTTCCCGAACTCCTTCAATGTTACGTTTGTGTTAATTATTTACATAGTTTGCGTTACTAAAGGAACAGATAACATTGTTCACAGGCGGTAAATAGGTACCTATAGGTGAAAAATCCGGACCAATATCTACAACATACAAAATTAACAATCCGAGGAAGTAACTATTGAATTTAAATCATCATATCATATCATTTAAACCTGACCTTAATTTAATTCGAAATTTGATATGCTCAAAAGTAGCCAGCTCAAAGAGATTTAAAAGCAACTCCACCCGTTTCCCATTTGTGAAACATAAAATTCCGAAGTCTCTTACATAAAGTACCTTCATGAAACACTAATTAGCGGGACCTTCTGCAGTCCAGAAGATATCTGAAGGTCCTGAATACGGTAACCTTAAACTGAATTTGTATTTCGAGATGAATGCGACTAAGTACTTTTAACACTCTAGCATTTACCTCTGCATGGACGAAACAGTTACCGTCATTCAAAAAAGGCGGATTCATACACAAAGAATAGAAATTGCTAATCAAACTTAATAACTAAATGAGTTTAAATGTATCTCCAGCGGTGTCTGTAGATACGCCACCTGTACTTGTCGTTTGAAATTTTGAAAGCAGACATCTCAGAATGGACGAAAATACCATAGTGGAACCTCCAAGAGAAAAGCAAAAAACGAACGTTGAACAGCGAAGAAATAAGTTCAGATCGGAAGATCGATATGAGGGTGATATCTTTATTAAAGAATCCGAATCTTCTGGAGTGTATTTCTAGTGAACTTTCATTTATATATTTTTAAGGTGGTTTTCATTAGAAATCCAAGCGGTTATATTAAGCGTAAGGGAAAGGGCCCCCAAATATTTTTGAGGACGGGCCTTTAAAATGAAGTTACACGCCTCTGGTACCTAGCCGCGCACAACGCCCTAATCGTGTGAGACTGAGAATAGGTACCTATCGGAGAAATTTTCCAAGTTCCAGGAAAGCTTTCATATATTGTGAAATATTAAAAAGATAGGTAAGTGAAAGCGAAATGAGCAAGACAACAACCCGAAAATGTTACCGTTAATCGCACCGATAAAGTGATTTAATAACAATGGGATAGGAGAAATGGTAACTTCCTATCGATGATTCATATATTTCATCCAACTTTACTATGATTCATACTATCCAATTTGAATTGAAACCCTATCTTACTTGGGTACTTTGTATTCCACAAAAGTTTACATGTGATGCGCGCGATTCTGTTTCTCCCCCTTTAATGATTGGTTGGCTAGCAACCAACACCCATTTTGAAAACGCCGACAGACTGCAACGGTATTTCTGCTTGTATTAGCAATCTAGCATAGTTCGTGATTTCCCTTAGCACGTACGCTAGTAATCCACCAACTTCTTTTCCTTAGACTTGTGAACATACTTTACCGAACAAAAGGTAAGATTACTTTTAATTAAATTTTTTTTAATACTTGATTCAAGTCGGTTTCATCGTTGACACGTAACGGGGAATAGGGTGCGGTTCCACATTTCCTATTCCATATCACAATGTTCTTCACTATCACATTATTGTTGATAATGATATGAGAGACAGAAACTTCTTTTGTACTTTCCTCATTTGTTGTAAAATTACGACAAATAAACCGCCTTTCAAATTTTCAATACAAACAGAACAGGTGCAATTATCACTTATAATAGAAAGATGAAGAATGAAGCACTTTACATGTAAAATTGATCTTTATTGTTAATGAAAAATTATTTATTCATGCATTATGAAGCTACTTATAAATTTGTGTATTCGTAAAAGTAAAGTGCAACCGCAACCTTTCATCCTTTCATGAGTAACAATCTATTTTTACACAGACGTGTCTTTTTCTTCAAGTTTTGGGGGTGCGACAAAATTGATCCAATGGAGTATAATTTTCTAAATAAGGCCCACTGTTTGCTTGAGTGCGTCTTAATGGCCATTTTATGTAAAGTAGAGATGTTATTCAACCTTCACTCGTGTAGGACGATGGATAAAGTTAAATGCCCCCTCAACTAATAAGTTTTAAGCAATTAAATTTTGTGTTGTTATTTGTAGCGTGTAATTGTGTTAAAGCAATAATTAAAACAGTACGAGATTTTTAAATAATTAATCAATGCCGCAGGAGAGCTCTAAACATTCTTTCGATTCGTAAATAAACCTTGAACTTGAAAAATACCACGTAGACCATACAGCACTAATTCTAAAAATAGTGGTTAGGCCGCAATTATAACTGTTTTTAATTGTAATCGTTCTTAATTACTAATTACTTTCGATGCGAACCTTATTCCAATTATATCACCTGAGAGAAGGGGAAGATGACATGGTTTAGGGCAATAGAAATAATTCATTTGCTCATCTTAATATAATATGTGATGTTAAATTTATTACTTTTAGTAATGTGTGCAGCCATACAATCTTCATGTAGAATTCAAAAATTTGGTTCCGGTATTAGAACACATGTTGTGTTGCGTTACGGTTCATGGCAGTTAATTAGCAAGAATTCAGTATATACGATCAAGATTGCAATTTATAAGCACATGCCCCAATGGTAATAGAAATTTGATTATACTACATATACTATAGCCACACAGGTGTTAGTTGCGATGTAAGTACCTACTACAGCAGTCAATTTTTAAATTCAAGTCGATGGTATTGTGAGACCCAGTCAACCTTGTAGTCGTGACTCATTTACGCGAAAAGTAAAGTGAATTTAATTAATTATATGTAATGATACGATTTGAGAATCGATCTACTGAGCTATTCGAAAGAAGTACTGAAACACTATTATTTGATAAAGTCAACAGGCCGATAAGAAAGAATGCAATGCGTTATAGAGCAAGAGAAACATGGTTTTATTGTACTGTTGTCGTTTTCAAAAAAATTAACATACACTTATGGCCACATTTTTTTAATCTAAAAAAAATTCAAGGGAAATAAACTAAATATGTAAGAAGATATTTTTATTGTGGTTCTTACAAAAATATTTGAAATGCTAGTGACAGATGTAGAAGTTGCTCTACGCACAGCCGTTAGTAATTAATGCGATATAATCGGCCGAATTCCCAGAAAATAGCGCTTTTGTAATTTATCCAGTTAAGTGTTGGCTGTTAAAAAAAAATGAAGAATCGTAAATTTTGAGGGGACCAAACGAAACTTTTATAACCTTCGGTTAATTTGGAACAAAACAATTGGGTCTTCTTTACCCCCAAGTTTTTTCGGCATACTTTATATTATGTTCATGCATGTTGGGACCTATGACCTAGTGTCCTAGTATGTATATGACTATATTTGTGAATTGTGTACAATTCCAGCGGAGGAAATCCTGAGTGCATTTCTTCGATACGTAATAAATAAATTTCCACAAAAATAAAAAAAATGGGCTATTGTGGCCTCTTGTCCGTCCGCTCGTTTGTTGGTAGGCTACTATAGTTCTTTATCTTAAGAGCTATTGTTATACTTTTTTCGCTATTTGGTTCGTTATGGTGTCGATGCTTGCACCAAGGAAGGAATTTTTTCTGCGTTTATTGCTAAAAAACCGTTTTTTACATGTTCCATAATTTTACGCTTTTGCCGTTTATTAACGATTCTAGAGATCGTTTATAATTTTGTATTGCTGTCTGTCTGTTGGTCTGTTCGTCTGTTCCTTTGTCTGTCTGTCCCTCTATCTGTGTGTGACCGATAACTTTGTTTAGAAATGTCCGATCGCTTTGACATCTCCGTTAGTTATGAACTGAATTGAATGAAATTCAATATGGGCATAACTTTAGCCATATAATACGCAATGCCAAAGGTTGAGTCGAATCGATTCAAAATTCACAGTGCCCTTTTCGCATCTCGACCATTTATAAACCGAATTGCAAACTTTTTTATTTATGAAAGTATTTAAATGAAATTTGATACATAGGCACTTGGAATAAAGGAAAATCCGAGGGAAAATCTAGCGCCCGTTTCAAAATTTTATTTTGCGCATGCGCAGTGCAACTTTTTGGAAGCATTTAAGTAGGCGCTTGGAACAAAGGAAAATCAAACATTAGTTTCAAAATTTAGGTTTGCGCATGCGCAGTTCCAACTTTCTGATTTAGAAAAGCATTGAAATGAAATCCTTCTTATACACTGAAATTGAAGTAGCACGTCAAAAATGTATTGCACATGTGCAACGCTATCTTTCATATTTGTGGCCGGATTTTTACGATTTTAACAGAAGTTGCATCTTACAAATGGGAAATGAATGCAAGTGGAAATAAATGCGCTTTATGTTAATCGTTTACGATTACTTTTTAACTTGTTGTGATCTAACTGTGGACTCGATTTTCTATAGATAACGTGCATATTTACTTCTTGTTGTTAATTTTAACTTTATGGAAAGAATCTACGACAAGTGTGGATTCATTTAATTAAGTTGTAATTGCATCGATGCGTCTAACTTAACTAAACTGCACCGAGGCGATTTTATGCAATAATTACTACCGTTCTATTTCGTTGGAAATCACCGACACGGCAAATATTACAGTCGAACATTACCTAATTAGATAGCATTTTTTAAACCAATTTCATGTTTCAAACATACGGATTGTAATTAAAACTAGGAATTCAGTTCGTTGTTCGTTCTATCCTCGACGTTTAACAGTATGCCGAAAGAGTAATGAAATAAAAAGCAATACGTTACTAGATTTGCCTATCTTTTTAACGCATTTCCCAACTCATATTATGATGGGCCACTTTCTCCGTCCGTCCATCCGCTACAGTTTTCAAGATATTTTGTTCGTTCTTTTTGCATGCGATAGCTAATAGCTCAGGGACCTCAACCTAGAAAAATCTTGACGGTTAAGGTGCGCATGCGCAGTCTGCGCAATGTCAACTTTCTTATTTATAGATATTTTTTTCAAAATTTAACCACAGATGCTTCTAGTAAAGACAAGCATATGATATGGTATGTCGTATAAAATCGAACGTACGCATTATGTCAACTTACTTATTTATGGGGATATTTATTTGAAATTTTAATCACAGTTCCTCCCAGTAAAGACAGTAAGCATATCGCACACTGTAAAAATTAGACGTGCGCAATGTCAAATTTCTTATGTATCGAAATTTTAAATAAAGAATCTTGTAGTAAAGGCAAACATATCGCATTTATGCCGTAACTTATTTCCCTCTGTAGGTACACATAAATAGTTCGTTATACGAGTTTTCTTTAGGTTAGGTTATCAATCAATACGTGATGGGTGACACCTATACCGGGTTATTGTATTTTATTTATCGCTTATTAATAAATACTTAATAATCACTATGGTACTAGTAGGTAATTTGCACGATAAGAGATAACGACGAGGATAACGAGCATGAGAATTTGGTTATATTTATCAGGAATTTAGCATTAGAGCTAAATGTGTTTGTCGTTATTAATTTCCACATTTTTAATCAAGTTTTCTATTTTGATAGTAGGTACCTACTACGCCCTTAAAACTAGATGACTTGAAATTTACATAAATGTTTGCTTGTAAATTATTAATATAGAATGCTAAACTGACAAGAGTCATTAAAATGAGAATAATGTGCGTGTATATCTTCGAAATTGAATCCAATTATCTAGGTAAATTAGCAAAATATTTTGATCTATAGAAATACTCACGGTTTTTTTATGCATCATAAGACTGCGTCTTATTTTTTTGCAGTTCATGATGGTCCGTCCATCCCGCCACAGGGCTATATGAAAGAAATGTTTATCTCAACGAAATTTGATAATCTGGGTGTTTTTCAACATGAGAAGAATGAATTCACACTATTTTTGAAAATTTACCAAATAAAATATAACTGTAAAGCTGAGTCGGGCACTAAAAATGGTTAGAGTTTCATAAAGTTGGGTAAGGTCCACTCTCACTGTCTTTAAAAAAATGCACAGTTTCCCTCAGAATCTCTCACGAGCTCTCATGTGTGTAATCTTGAGTTTGGTGCAGCCCTCGGTGCAGCCCTACAACAAAATGCGTCAATTGAATATTAAAGTGAAACCATTTTTTTAAACAGATTTGTTCCATGGTTTAAAATATCTGAAATTGTTTCCTTATTTTCATTTTCAAAAGTTCTTAGGTACTAAATCGAAATAAGAATATTTTTCGCACGCCCGTTTATAGGCGCGTCATCTTGGGGTGGGAATATTGGAAAATGTTTACAAAACGGGAAAGACCTATGTTAATGTATGTGTTAAGATCAAATGAAGCAAATTTAGAGACTCTTGGGGAGGGAACACCTTGGAGTTTTGATTTATATTTATATAGGAAATATGTGTCATGTCATGTGTCTTAATTCGTATTGTAACTACGTGCAAGGGGAAGTGGGTGATTTTGAAGTGTATGCGTCGTAGAAGTGTCGTAAATTTGAACCGGAAAACTCTTCACGCGGTAAATTCGCTC